GATATATATAGTTATTATATGTATATTTTTTATTTATTATTTTGTCATATTTAGTTTGTATTTATTTGACACCTTGTATACGCTTATGTTTTCTCGGACATTATATTGCAGCTTTGCGACGAAATTTCAGTCGAGGAAACAAGCGCAAGCATCGTTTGTTTACAAACTTCCGATGACACACGTACACAGACCACACGTCAGTGTAGTGAGTCACCACTACAAACAAATGCGTACACACGGACCTACGCGGCATAGGTCCGTAGGCTGCGCCGATAATGTCATTTCATTTTTAGTACCATCGAAATGATGGCGCTTTCGCGTCGGAGTTCGCCCATCACTTCAGCATCCTCTTAAAGGAAAAACTATATATGGCTTACCAAAAAGGTCACGACATAGAGATTATATGGATTCCAGCGCACCAAGGTATTTTGGGTAACGAAATGGCAGACTACTTAGCAAGATCGGCCATCAGATATGGCAATGGTCTTGAAATTAAGCTTCCCTATACTGATCTATATCCAATACTCAGACAAAAGGCCTTACATAGATTTCATTCCTTCTTAGACAGATGGAAAAATAAAAAAGGAATTCACTACATCCATAACTATTATGATCAATCCAATAGGCCCTGGTTTTTCCCCTTCCAAAATTATGAACGTAAAACTATCACTTCCATAAACCGATTAAGGAGTAACCATTATAATTTAAATTCTTCCCTGGCTGGATTTTATATTGTAAACTCTCCTATGTGTAATTGTGGTCAGTCGCATGAAAATATCGATCATGTCTTATGGAACTGCATTAAATATAATAACCCAAGAACTGTATTTATTAACAATTTAAAAAAACTGGAAACAATCCACCTTACTCAACTATTGCACTTTTCAAAAAACCATCAGCTGATATTCTGAATGCCTTTGAAACTTTTCTCCGCTCAACTAAACTATCCATTTAAACTTACCGCCCTCTCCTCTCCATTTCCCTTCACAAACCATATGGCTGCAAGGGAGAGCTTCCCGGTGCCACTACACACATCTACTACTACTATTATTATTTAAAATTTATTTTATTGAACAAATGGCTTTGGTTGAATATTAAACCGTTGATATTCAATCAATAAATAAACAAATAATCGCATAATAAATATGAAAATAATAAAAGAAGAAAAAGAAGATATTGAATACATAGGAATCAACGATTAAGAAAAAGTGCAAATTAATCTCATACACTTTGGTATAAAAATAACGAATGAACGCTATAATGACCGAGATTTATATTAAATTTCAAAATTTAATATACATGCTTGATTTACCTCGCATACCACCTGGAAATACTCTGCGTACCGGTGGTACGCGTACCATAGGTTGAAATGTAGACCGCTGATGTAGACCATCTGTTTGATACACTCTGAATATCTGTAAATAAAATTAGCTACTCATATAATTAAATATTTTACCCTAATGAGTTTACAACAAATATGGTCTGAAAATCTTATATAGGAAAAACATAAAACACAAAAAAGTCTGTTTATACAAAAGTATGTATTAGGAAATTGTTTTCTTAATCTATAAATTAGTTTAGAAAAATCGTAAAAAAGCAAAACAAATTTCATTAAAAAAATAAAAATTAGTATTGTAAGATAGCGCAAATAAAACTTTAAAAAATATTTATCTTAAAATTATAATTGTAATATAACATAAATCATTATTTTTGGCATATATTTCTTCGATTTTTAAAAATCTACACATAATACAAACTTTTAAAGGTTGGATTTGAAGTCGACGTATAAAAAAACAACATATGAAAACTGGAAAACTATTATTCTTTCCCATAAAACAAGCTCACGCAAAACAGTGTAATCAACGTATCAATGTACTATGTAAAAAATAAAGATAGAATTAAATACAAAACTCTTGTTCATATTCTTTAACTTTATCCATTACACTTAATTACATTACGCATGAAAATACATCTGTATTATGGTCATATGTTTCTTAAATTACTCAATTTTTTTGCGCAAATCAATAAAAAAGTTAAGGCTTAAGCGATATAACGTAAATATATTTTGCCAAGTGTCCAGTTATAATTTTTAGCTTTCATAAATGTATTATACAAACGTGTAATTTATTACTATCCTTATCTTTACTGCATATACTGTATCAGAATTTCTAGATGCCGAAACAAACTTTACACTTGTTTTTTTCTGGCGTTATAACTTATAATTGTATACAAAGAGAAAAAAACGAATGTTCTTTCAGTTATATATAGAAACATAAAAGCTTTACAACTACATGGTCGATAAATTAATTTGTATATATCTGTATTTGTATTCTGTATTCATCGCGACACTACTTCGGTTACACGCATATTAACAATAGGTCGAAGCTCCTGCTGCGCATAATCTTCCGGTAGAGGTAGCTGAGATATTAAACGAACCAACAACTTTGTAACAGATTTTTTTTCATTTTTCTCCAACAACATCAAATTTCGAGTCAAATGTAGAGTCCTTTTTGCAATTTCAGCCTGGCATAATCTGAAAATACAAAAAATTACAAAATTTGGAAATATAAAGGCTCAGCTAATTAAACAATCGAATTATATACGATAGGAAGCATAAAGAACCAAAACGCCAAATTTTCGTGCGATAGAATTTGTATTATATTATAAAAACAGCTTACAAACGTTTCTATCTGATATCTGGCTATCTTCAGTGTCAAAACAATAAAATATGCGCAACGCAAACATTTGCTTTATGATTTACGACATTAAAGCAAAATTTGGTTTGCACGATTAAAATAATGAATTACATAATTAATGATAAAGTTGAAGTAAAAGTAGAAGTATAGAACATTTCTGATTGTTCCATATACTAAGTCGACATTTAGAGATTTTAGTTCAATCGCGAGGAGTTTTAACCTTAGAATAGCATTCTCGATTCCGAATAATTTAAAACAATTCATTAAAACTAGGATCAATTAAATATATTGTCTCATTGTGGTATTGTGTACATAATTTTATGTCGGGACTGCAATGCCACTTATGTAGGGCGAACAAAAAGAAAATTAAATACTAGAATAAAAGAACATAAAATGGATATTAATAAAAGAAGTGGTTTTCCGTGTGATTTCTAGACATAAAATTGAATCCTCCCACGAGTTTGATTGGGACAATGTGAGAATTTTGGACGAGGAAGCTTCTTATAACAAAAGACTTATTTTGGAAATAATTTTTATTAAACATAAAAAATGCAGGATTAAACAGTCAGAATGACACCAACTTTTTATCAGTCATCTCTATTCTTGTTCTAAACTTACTTCTCCTTTTATGATCTAAAACCCTTCTCTTCTTTTCCTTATTTCACTCATCTCGTATCATCTTTCTCCGCACTCCTTATATTCTTTCCCTCCTCATAGGTCCCTCATCACTTCGGATCGTTGATTTAGAATACTAGCATTAACATTTTAATTTTTAACTAAGTTGACACATTTTTTTTGTCTCTTCCATTTTCTCTTTTACATAATGTCGAACAACTGTATTATGAATTTTATCAAGTATGTATAAATTAAATAATTTTTTATTCGAGTGTTAATGACGTCACAGTAATCAATGTGTTTGTTTAATTTATTTCAGTACTTCAACTTTATCATTAATTATGTAATTCATTATTTTAATCGTGCGAACCAAATCTTGCCTTAATATCGTAAATCATAAAGCAAATATTTGCGTTGCGTTTCATATTTTATTGTTTTGAAAATAGCTTAATGTCAGGCAGAAACATTTGTTATTTGTAAGCTGTTTTATAACATAATACAAATTCTATCGCACGAAAATCTGACTTTTGGTTTTTTACGCTCTCTATCTAACAAGAAATTACACATTAGACAGTTTAAATTATTAATTACTATGAAGTAATAATTACTAGAGTAATTCCAAAGTTAATGTATACTAAAAACAATTTTTAAATAAAAAATTCTTTCAGGCAAATCTTATATTCTTAAAACCAGATTAAGTCAAAAAGTTTCTTACTATTTTTCCACTGTTATTTATTAAAATATCATGAGCTAAAGATTAAAAAATTCATCAAGATTTTCCTGCATATTTTTAAAAAATGTTAACCAAAAATAGTTTCAAATAAAAGTTATTTTGATGAAGGAGGAAAGAAAGATAATATAATAAGAAAAATATAGATCTCTATTTTAAAAATAAATCGATTTTAAAACAACCTTAAAAATTACGCAAGAAATTATGATATCAACAGTTGCCCCCCCCCTCCTTCTAAATTTTAATTAAAATAATTTCTAAATTTTAATTTTTTTCTGTCTTTTTTCTTCCTTTTTTGAGATATAACTTATTTTTGACACAATCCTAATTCAATTTGAAAAAATACAATTGGAATATGCATTGACATACCTGTGTTTAGCAGTTGGACATGGAAATTGATCAATTTTGTAACATAAACTTGTTAATCGAGGCTTTAGCGCCTCTAGTTGGTAAGTTATTCCGCAATAATCTGATGCAGATTTTAATAGATTTTCAATTTCACTAGTGATCTCCATGTACTCCCACAAGAGTTGTCCTTGATGTGTCCATCCACTAATTGTGCTACTACATTCGATTGGTACTAGCGAGTTTAATAAGGATTTCAGATATTCACAATTCTCTGCAAAATAGAATATTTTGTGATATTATTTGTAATATATTAATATGTAAAAAAAGAGAAAGAAAATAATAATGACACCATTTATTACAGCATCGGCCGCCAAATGTTCTATAATAATTTCATGAGCTTGAGTCCATTGTTCAGCTTGAATATAATACCAAGCTGCTTCTCCATATCTGAAAGAAATAAAGAATAAAATCTCTCATAACTTTATCCAAAATTTTACTCAAATTAATAATACATATAGCAATGCTTTTTTTCTGGATATACTTATGAATCGCTCCTGCTCCTGATCAACTTAAAAATTCACAATTAGACTAATTAGGAGGTGAGTTTAGTGGGCGTAGTTTCAACTTCGGCAAATGTATAAAAAAAAAGATTTCTTCAATACAAGACAACACTTATCGATTAAAATTGACTATATATATATAATGTATATAATATATATTATATATAATATATATATAGTAATATAATATATATGGTAAATATGCACATTAAGTTACACCAACTGATTTTCTCGCCATTTAGATATGTTGCAGAAGAAGCTGTTCTGTTGTTTACAACTATCACGCGTGGATGGACCACTGCCCTGGACCCGGATTAAGCCGCTAGTTGGTCTAAACAAAATCCAGGATTCCCCAAAGTGTGAGATTTTTACCCATTAAAATCCCGCCGTGCTCCCCCCCCCCCCCCACCTTAGCGCAATATGGAGAGAGGGAGCTCTAAGAACTGTTTCCAATGCTACATAGAGCTCCCCAGCGCCCATTCATCCTTGTAGGAAAAGGGAAAGAGATTTATTTATCCTCTCTCCCATCTTGTCTTCCATCTTCCTTTTTGATGACATGATGCGGCCACAACATCATGCCATCACCTATTCTCAAAAAAAGGGCATTACTACCCCCCTCCCCCCTGATGGGGGAGTTACGTCACCCGGGTGGCTTTAATATGGCTGGGTTAGCCGCTATCCTGGTGAGAAGCGACGCCTCCTGGTGAGGGGTGACAGTCCACTCGCGCCGAGGCGGAGTTGTCGCGAAACATCCACTCAAAAGCCCCGCCTCTTCCTCCTACTCAAAACCTAACCTAACCTAACCTAACCTAACCTAACCTAACCTAACCTAACCTAACCTAACCTAACCTAATCACACACCCCTTTGGCTTACGGACACCATCTAGCGGCAAAATTCCAAAATTTTACAAGTTTTTTTTCTGCGTATTTGCCGAAGTTGAAACCACGCCCACTAAACTCCTCACCTCCTAATTAGTCCAATTATGCAACTTCAAAGCTCTAATTCACAAGGGCGATTCAGAAGTACACCTGTTTCTCTTTTTCACTTCTTCAGAAATAAAAATTTGTATTATTAAAACTAATGTCTAACGTATATACAGAGTGTTTCATAATGTTCGTCCAAACGCTCGTGTACAGGTAAAATGCGATAAACTGAATAGAAAAATCCTTTACCGTTTTGCAATTTTCGCAATAATAAATGAAATATTAATTTTAAAAAATGACCAATAATAGCGCGTTGCACGCGGCTAGACCGTGAGCTGTACGATCTACGTGGTCAGCGGAGCGTCGCACGACAACGAAAAATAACAACGGTACGAAGATCCAGTCTCACACGCCATTTCTGCCCGCTCGCTGCTCACGTATTATTCCTCTCGTCACGTGCTGTTTGTTTTTCGTTGCCATGCAACATGCCGCTGACCCGCCCAAATCGTACACAGCCCACGGTCTAGCCACGCGCAATGCGCTTTCATTCGTCAATCCCTTTAATTAATATCTTATTTATTATTGCGAAAATTGCAAAACGATAAAGGACTTTTATGTTTAATTTATCACGCTCTGCCAGTACACGAGCGTTTGAACGAACATTATGAAACACCCTGTATAATCGAAATTTTTTAATGTAATTTTTTTTTTTAATTTAAATTAAGGTGCAGCTATCATGAACTGTTTGATGAATGTATAATTTTGTTTTTGCTTAAATATTAATAATTATTCTATTGTATACGGAAAAATGAAGTTAGAACCTTTCCAAAGTTGTATAATAGTCACCCTTTAAAATTTTACAATTCATGAATTAAATAATGTAGGTAAATGACAAATAATAATAAATTAAAATTTTAGAATTCATAAACAAAAAATTTAAAAAATATTAAATTTAAATAACAGTTATTGACAATTAATTTCAATGTAATATGCAAATAAAAATTTCAAAATACAATATATTTTATGTTGTGTTTAATTCTGATATTAAATTTTAAAATTTTGATGAAAAATTCAAATTTAGCAAATTGAAGAACCTACAAATATTATATGATATCATATATATTGACAAATATTATATTTTAGGAATCACTTTCTTGAAAATGACGAACATATGCGTCATGAACACATTCCCTTCCCTGTAGATTGCATGCACCCCATTTTTGTTCAAGCCGTTTGATATTTTCTTTTTTTTTACATAAATTATGTAAATATGATAATAATTTGTTGAAACAAAAATTTTTGTAGCGCATTTTAAAAACATTGCATTATTTTTTTTGATAATAATTTTTACAATCTTACAAATATTATAAGGTATGTTATAAACAAAATTGTTAATCTTGTGTCTACATGGCGCATGCAACCCACGCGACATGAATGGATAATCATCGCAAATCAGCAGAAAACATATTAATACTAGCAGTTAGTTTTCAATTGACACATAATATACTTATATGCATCATTAATACTCAAACTTGTATGAATATATGCAACTAAATCAGATGTCAAATACCTCTTATTAATGCTACTTTTGATGGCTTTAGCTTGATAAATCCAAATTAACGATATACCAAGTTCTTCCTTCAAAAATTGTTCACGTTTTACATATTCTGGGGTGTCATTTATTTCTATATGACGTAATAGCAAGTCCTGTACAGCGGTGCGTCTTCTGGATGAGTCTCGTAAATGCAACACTACGAAGATTGCCCAATGCCAGAGTCCGTATGCCTCTAATTGTGTCGCAAAGTTCGTGTGCGTTAACGCGGCAACGTGATCGGACAGGTGCGTGTAACCCAAGGCCACGAGTATCTGTTGCATTAACCAGCTGTGTATCAACAAAATATGTTATTAGTAAAATAATAAATTTATAGAACTAAATCTGTACGATAGAAAGCACATTATTTTTTTAACTTAAAAATAAAATTAATAAATAGAACTTTAAACAAATAGAGGCCATTAAAGTAGTTTCAACGATTTCTCAATTCGATTATTCAAGATTTATTGGAAACTTTAAGAAATAAATGTATACAATGTCAGGCACTGGCAGATCCTGAGGGGGGGGTATCTCCCTCAC